GTTGGTGTTGATTGTAGAACAGTAGTGTCACTGCTTGATGTGGTAGGTAATGGTTGTAGAACAGTAGTGTTACTGCTTGATGTGGTTGGTGTTGAATGTAAAACAGTGGTTTCCATGCTTGATGGGATTGGTTGTTCTCGTAGAACCGTGGTGTGACTGGTTGGGGTGGTTGGTATTGATCGTAGAACAGCGATATTACTGCTTTCCGTGGTTGGTGTTGAATATGGAACAGCATTGTTACTGCTTGATGTTGTTGGTGTTGATTGTATAACAGTAGTGTTACTGCTTGATGTGGTAGGTAATGGTTGTAGAACGATAGTGTTACTGCTTGATGTAGTTGGTGTTGATTGTAGAACAGTAGTGTTACTGCTTGATGTAGTTAGTGTTGATTGTAGAACAGTAGTGTTACTACTTGATGTGGTTGGTGTTGATTGTATAACATTAGTGTCACTACTTGATGTAGTTAGTGTTGATTGTAGAACAGTAGTGTTACTACTTGATGTGGTTGGTGTTGATTGTATAACAGTGGTTTCCCTGCTTGATGTGGCTGGTGTTGCTTGTAGAACCGTGGTGTGACTGGTTGGGGTGGTTGGTATTGATCGTGGAACAGTGATAGTACTGCTTTCCGTGGTTGGTGTAGAATATGGAACAGCATTGTTACTGCTTGATGTTGTTGGTGTTGATTGTAAAACAGTGGTTTCCCTGCTTGATGTGGCTGGTGTTGCTTGTAGAACCGTGGTGTGACTGATTGGGGTGGTTGGTATTGATCGTAGAACAGTGATATTACTGATTTCCGTAGTTGGTGTTGAATATGGAACAGCATTGTTACTACTTGATGTTGTTGATGTTGATTGAAGAACATTGTTGTCACTGCTTAATGTGGTTGGTGTTGATTGTAGAACAGTGGTCGCACCTTTTACCATTGCTGGTGTTGATTGAATGACAATAGCATTATTCCCTGGCATGTTTTGTGTTGATTGCATAAAAGGTGTTGCATTACTTGAAACGATGGATAATGACTGCACATTGTCTGACATAGATAGGGTCAATTGCATAAAATCCGCGGATTCATTTTTAGACATGGGAGATGCTGTTGGTGAAACATAGATTGAATTGATTGACATGGCTGGTGTTACTTGTACTACTGTAATTTCGTTGTGTGAAAAGGTAAGAGTTGATTGCACAAAAAGGGGTTTCATTACTAGTCTCTTTCTTCTTCAATCATATCCCCTCACTTTTTCCCATACTAGTCTCACATATTTCCCAATATTAGTCCCCTCATCTTTTAGGCTGCCCCATGGCCCTTGCGATTTGGATTTTTAAGTTTTGAAATCCTCTGTTATTAAACAGATCTGTTATGCCTCAAAATTGGGAGGCCTCCTAACCTACAGTAAAAATGGGGGACATAAAAGAACCTGTTAAATTATTCGTGTAAGAGTAGCGAATTGTAAGATTAAGAATTCCGCAGACCATAGGCCCTGCAGGCGCCATAAATAATTAACATCAAGAACCATTCGAGCGTGCATCATTAACTTGTAAGTAGTTTTCTTTTTCTTTTTCTTTTTAAATTTGTCCCTTTTTATGAAACTCATTATTTGTAAATTGTTTGTTGTAGCGAATCGTACAATCTCCTGCGTAATTGTGGAGTAATCGTCAAACTGGGGTTAATAAATATGCATGTTGGAGTCAATGTGTACGAAGGCTAGACTATTCATGTAGTTGGAGACTACAGGAATTGTCTCCCGGTTCAACAGCCTATCTCAATTTGGAGGCATAAACACTAATGTACTAATAAATCACTCATGATTGTAAGCTGCACGGCTGCTAATAGCGCCTTAATATGCAGCCCGTAAGTCCTCCACTGTTCATAAAATGTAAAATGCATTGAGACAATGTGAAATGCGCTATACAAGAACCTCATTGTTATTATAATAATTATTATTATGATTATTATTATTATAATGATCATATGATGATGATGATTATTATTATTGTTATTATAGTTATTCACGATAACTGATGGAAAAAAAGTTTAATATTAATTCAAAGTATCAAAATATGGATTCACACTCGTTTTTATTACTTTGATAATATGATTAATATTAAAACATCTGGCAACCTTGGATCTTTTTGGTTGGTGCAGAAAGAAGTATAGAAATTTTTTAATTTAGCTTGAATGATTACGAAACAGAGGTTTCAAGTCGAGATAGGGGTAGTCGAAAACAATAAACATTCAATCCAACCTCGGCTTGCAGCCATTGTTCGTAGTCACTCAAGCAAGTTTGATAAGACAAATTCAATAAACCCGTTTCACAAGGCTGCGAGCTCATTCAAATTGAAAAAACTTGACGGACTACAATACCAGAACAGGAGCTTTATAATGAGAATTATAATACTCTCTACAAAATTACACGGTTCTGATTGGACAAGAGGAATACAATTAAAATCCCAAATTATGTTCCGTAGAGTCCCAATAAAATTCCTCAATTTTGTTGAGTGTATTATAAACAAAAAATCACACAATGTTCTCGACAATTTGGAATTTATAGATATTCGTGATGTTTTGAAAGTTCTCAAACTGAGCTCGCCTAAAGGCTCGTCCAATTTTGAAAGCTGTCAAAACATCACTCGTACCTATAAATCCCGAATTGTACTTGAGATGTGCGATTTCTTATACTTGCCGAATCATACATTTAAAGCGTTTTATGCGATATATGCTGCTACTATTATCATAAAACTCTATTGATATCCACACATTTTTTAAATTTTATTTTAACATTTTTATTAATCATTAAACAAATAAATTAATTACAAGTGCATAAATTTACTAGGTTTTTTCCTTAATTTTAAAATACTGTACTTACAGCGTTTTTACTTTTCGAGATATTAAACATTATATACGAGATTCAGAAACAAAAATTGACAATAAGAGAAAAAGAAGGGGAAAAAAAAATGATAATAATAATAGTAATAATAATAATAATGGTTTAATCAATAGAATCCACGAGGTGGCTCTTCTCCTATTGATAAAACTATCTAATTTACAATAACATACACACAAGATAAATTTACGATAAACTATGAAGCTATAAAATAAGTTAGACATAATAAGAAATAAGATTGACATAATTACTATTGGATTATTCTAAGCTAGACAATTATTATACATAAATAAAAAGGACAAAAACTGAAGATACTGGGGCTACGCCCACCGCCCCCAAGCAACCACCCCAGGTCGAGATATTCGGGGCAACAGACAAAGAGAAAACTGTCCCAAATGCCACGACCCAATAATTGCCCAGGGTACAGCAGCGCAGCACCAATATCCATCAATCAGGTGAAAGATAAATTAATTAATAAAAATCAAGTAATGTCATATCGCTTCTTTAGCTCTGCTTTCACTTTAGAACAAAATAAACTATAACTAGAAATGTCTTTTATATTATTTGGCAAATTATTGAACAGTTCTGAGGCGATATCTTGAAAAGTTCCCTTTTCCAAAGGTAGAAAGAGAAAAGAAAAAATCTTGCCTTTTACCTCATTTCAAGGCCTTAATGATTTTTTCCCATTTTCTTAGATATTTTTGTGTCTTATTTTTTGATTTTGCTATTTTCCTTTCTATATTTTCATAATGTTTTAAAATATTTTTAAATAATGACAGGGATGGAATACTACCTTTTTCTCTCGCTTTATACAATGACGTCTTATATATCAAAATTATAAAATTAATTGTAATATCGTTTACTCCTAATATTATATTAAATTTTATATTAAATTAATCCACATACTCCACATTAATCGAAATATCCACATATATTTCGAAGTTKTTTCTCTGTTTTAATTAAAAACGTCGCTATGTAGAAATACAAAGATTGTTCTTTTTTCTCGGCCGTTTTGTTTGTGCTTCAAAGAATAATGCTTATATTCACGTCATCCACCATATCCAAGGCTCTTTCCTTATTGTATATATATTCATATGAATATCATTCTGCAAAGCTGTTACTCGAAGATCAGATTAACGCCAAATAGAAACAAAGGTTGTTAAATGAAAAATATCAGTACTTTTCGTAGAAACTCGGCCGATCAATTCTTACAATGCTACCTTGTTATAAAAAGCTATGCTATCGCCTCACATTACAACTTACCTCCGCAGCTTCGCTTCAATAGAAAGATAAATCCGAGGAAGATAAGTCGATCCATAGTTGTTTTAGCGAGTTAAGGAAATTAAAGGTAGAGGAAAAACAGAAGGCTCTCTTTAATATTGAATAAATAATCGAATTAACTGTTTTTCGTCAAGTCTATTTTTATATAGCAATAATTACATGACTTTTCATTGGGTAAAAGATAATTTTTCGTTCCCTAAATAAAAGGGCTTCCTATGATATGCAAATGGCAGAGTCAAAGGTTTTGAAGTATATTCACTTGTTTGTTTGATTGACTTTTCTCTTTTTGGTTTCTTGTGTCGAGGGGGGAGGGGGGATGTTTTTAAAATAAGTTTTGCTGCCATGAATAACGAGAAAATTTGGCTAGAAGATGAATCGCTTTGATGAATGTGAACGGGGCTAGTAAAAGTAAAAGTTTATAAATAGTTTATTGGAAATAACTTGAAATAGTCTACGAGAAGGCCAACATTCAACCGGGTAAACTTAAAAGGTGAGGACTTCGATGCCTCAATTTTTTTCAGTCTAAAAAGACACCTGCGAATTGTATTCCTTTCCGTTTTCTCGTGCTTTCGAGCTTGAACGGAATATCTAAAATAACAAACAAGAAAAGAATATAATGTAAGCCACAGCAGTCTCCCGCAGACTCCATACGATCATAAAATACATAAGAAACGAACAGCTAGCCAATGAGCTTTTATCAGGTATTCTTAAATTAATAAAACCGAAAATAATTTACTCTACAGTAGCTGTAAAGAGTATGTTGAAATCAGTAAAGCTGTGAAGTTTGAAGAAAATTACTTCAAATCTTTGGAAGATATGATTTTTGAAAAATATGAATTTTGTAAGAAAACGTTTGCTGTTTCGGATGTTATCATATGATAAAATAAATAAGAAATAAAAATAAATTTAAAATGTAAAAATGAGATGCAAAACTTTAAAAGACAACTTATTTTTGTCTAACTTATATTCTATAGCATCAAAGACAAATATTGCACAAATAAATCCAAGCTAGTAAAATGTTTCTACAAAATTTCATGGTTAAGCAAATGTAATTAATGTTTTACATTCTCATCTCATTTGATATCTTGCAACTTATTAGATATTTGTTTCAAAGAAGAAGTTGAAAACATAAAAAACCAAATTGAATAGTTTAAGAAATCTTATGTGGACTGGTCCATACTGGTGGAATTCGAACCATCGACAGAAATTCAGAAACATTGATTCTACTTTGCCATACCCCCGAGACATTCGCAGAGTTAAGGCGTCGTATGGACTTTGGACCAGTCTGCAGTATACCTTATTACGATACATAGGTCATCTTGAATTCTATTACTTTAATTAAGACACCACGGGATATCGAGGGTGAAACTATTGGAAAATTTGAGAAGCACGTATAAAAAGGGTGATTGAATTTGCTGAACTTTATGAAAGACCTTGTCTCAGCTCTACTCTCTACTGCTGAAAAGGGGGCTTAAAATTTGCAAAATCTACGATGGTGACTTCGACCAGCAGTGTTACCGCCATTTGCATTGCTACGCGGCCATCCCAGACAAAAATCGCTACGTACACTTTGCAATAGACTGCCGTCAATCAAACATTTTGACGTCATTTACACGCGTTTGGATCGGCCCGGTGAGTGTGGCTCATAATACTTGTAAACAATCGACAAGTTTTGGCGCCTTTTGAATCACACACGCGTGTAAATGGTGTCAACGTGTTTGATTGATGGCAGTCTATTGCA